GGTATCAGTTGTACTTTTAATTAAATTAGAATGAGATACAATTTTTAAATATTAATGGAAAATATTTTTGAAAGAAATCTTATTAAAAGTTAAACGGAACAAAACTATTAATCTTTTATGGTAATAAATACAATCTGATCCATAATTGTATACGCCAACAGAAGAAAGAATGAATGTCATAAAATTTAAATTAGTTACGTTGTAATAGGATTAAAAATTGTGGATTTTTTTACTTATAAGTCGACAGGATCAAAATGATATTTTCATTTCAAGGATTAAAACATTAAAACATATGATATTCCAAATATTTTCACAATGCAACTTTTGATAGATAATTACCCACTCTGTGGGCCTAGTGGTAGAAACATACCCTTCGGCTAGGGTTGCCAACTTTATTATTTAGATTTTTAGGACGAGGAGAATAAGAATGCAGGACACTGAAGAGAAATTTAGGACGAACATATATTGACTATGGTAATTAATTGATAATGTAGGAGATATTGATAGTAAAGACACACAGGGAGTGCTACTTGAAAGTAGAGAGGACGCGGAAGTCCTGTATTGTGCGACAACATTATTGATATAACCCCGAATTCTAAGAGCACAACAATATCTATTTTTATTTATAAAACATACAAAAATGCTATGTTAAGCGCAATTAGAAGCGTTGAATTGTCCATGCTTTTACTCTGTAATACACAAATTCAGGACTACGCGTCCTGCAGACGAACCTAATAGGACTCATATTAGCACGAATGTACGACAACGTGCTTCGAATGCAGGACGGTTGGTGACCCTACTTTCGGCATAATTTAAATATTTAAATCATTTCTTTTTTGCTAAATTAACATATATGTTTATATTATATTATATCGATCATACATAGTAGCTTTACATTTGTATACTACCCATATTACATCGTAACGTTGAATGTAATCGTAAAATTATGGGTTTTTAGTCGATTCAATTTTCTGAGTAAATTACTGATCAAAATAAACGAAAAAAATAATTAACATCGCGATTAACGTTTGTAAAATACAGAGAAAGATATCGATTTACGTACAAATACGGCTGGCATTTAACATAACATTTATGTATTTGCTTGTATGTGAGAGAATCTCTTATGCGGTTGGTTCATGGTCAGCTACTTATAAATGAAGCATTGAAGTATTATAGATTGTTGGTTGATATTTTGGATTTTCCATCAATTGCCATACAAAACAAACTCGTTAGTGTCATCGGAAGTCAGTCGTCGGTACGCGTACGGTTCGAGAAGTGCTACCGAACGTTTCGTATTTTACATTGTTTTTAATAAAATGACGGCCAATATGATGATTAAGGGTAAGTTGCAATCAACAAAAATTTACAATACAAAAAATGTATGCAAAATAATATCGAACTTTTGCAATGTTTTCGCCGATTTTATTTACGTTTAGGGGATTCCCAAACTTTGAAAATTGTTAAATTAATTCAAGTGAACTTTGTATGCTACCTTCAAAGATATCTTCAAAATCCTCTAAGAAAGCAACATTTTGTTATCATATCGTTACCTATATGGGAGCCGCGCTTCTTACTTTAAAAATGTTTTTACTTACGCTCTTTTCATAAGTTATTGTTATCGAGTTAATTCGATTTAATTTTATTTTAACTATCTGGTTTAAAAACCTTTTACGTATTTTAAAGGTCTACACCTTGTTTTGTTTTACATTATTCTATTAATGTAAATGAAGAAGTTTTTTTTATCACAAGAAAAGTAGGTAGTTAAAAACACTATCAAGTACCTGTTTTATAATAATAAAAAAAATTAATCTAGGTTTCGGGAGAACAATTTCGTCGAACAAATCTTTCTTATATTAAAACCCACTTGCCCTGTGCTTGTTTTTCTTTCTTTAAACTTGATAACCTTAACATATTTTCGTTTTTCGGTAGAATCGCGTATTTAGATTATTTAATATTTAATTTGTAAACAAATTTTAAATATTTTGATAAGTAATTATTAACACGAGCTGCTGTTTCTAACCGGATTAATACACAAATTCTATTTTATTAAGAAAAAAATTTAGTAGTAGTACTTCAATATGAAAAGTTAAAAAAAATATAGTTTTATGAGGCTTAAGAAGAATTTTTTTAATGTTTATATACGACATAGAGATACTGGATACTTAAAAGCACCTCTACTTTAGAAAGTCAAATTTAATACGAGTCAAAACATGAAAGTCCAATAGAGAAAAATTAATGGCGCTGGACATATCAAATGTTAATAACTAGAAAAATATTTAATTAATTATTTTAGGCTATCATGATACTGATATCATCATCATATTGATTTTTTCGATTTTCAGTTGTGTGAATTTTATTTTATTTACACGAAAAGATACATAGTGAAACAAGAAAAGTACATGCTGTCTGTAAAAATACTTTCATGTTTTCCTTGAATATACAACGAGCGAGACAGTGAGCACAGTGCTCTCAAAATTTATTAATTAAATAAATACCTAGGTATATGTCGTCATACATTTATTGTATATCTATTAGTATTAGGAACATGTACGCATAATTACGTTAATTACAATTTAAGTTAGATTCCTGACTTTTACTTTTAAATTATATTGTTGTTTTCCAGGGTGATCATCAAATAATTAAACAAATGTTATTTGTTGCGTTTCGGTTTATTCAACCACCTTCAGACTTTTAATGTGTTGCTGCTTGTAGACAGATATTAGAGTAGTTCAACATGAAAGAATGTTTAAAATTAAGTTAATACCTGTGTACAAGCAGTAACACTAAAGTCTGAAGTTGGCTTAATAAACCGAAACGCAACAAGAAACATAAAGTTGTTTAAATATTTGATCGTCACTCTAGAAAAAACAATATATGTTAATTACTTCAGTTTTCGCTCACGAGCATGAGTAATAATAAGGATTAAGTGCTTAACTAATAAAAAAAAAACAGAAAGTTTTAAAAAAATCCCTTCTGCTAGTGAAAAGTGGCGAACTTGTCGTTAGACGGGTTATTGAGCTGCATTCAACCCAGCCAATCTCACACCTTTAATTTCTTGTAGATTAGTGTACCCCATACGTAAAAAGGAGCAACAAACAGAGCAGAGCTGGACAGGGTTTTTAGTCGTTTGTATTTAAAAATGTGCTTCCAGCCCTTTCAAAACACTGCAGTTCCAACCCTTTCATAAAGAGGTAGTTGGGGCTTGGCAAACGAATTACATAATTTATAAAATGCTGTGTAATTTGGACTCTCTTAAATTGCTTGAAGTACTTCAAGGTGCTTAGGGATTTTCATCTAAGTGCTTTCGAAATAATCATTCGAAGTTCTTGGATTTTAATAATTGATTCGAGCTTCAACGGCTAAAGTACTTTAGGTAATTGCTTTGACTTAAAGCTTAGACCTCTTTTAGTGAGGGCTTTGTCCAGCTCTCAAATGTAGTTATTTGTTATCTATGATTTGATCAAAAAATTACTGTAGAGATTTAAATGGTGCATTTCGGGGTTCCTGACAAAAAAATAATTAAAACAAAACATTAAGGGGAACAAAAGAATGATATGATAATTGTTGCAATATGCCCACATCAATATAAGGAGTAGTGTTACATCTTTGTTTACGCTTCCGTAATTGCGGAAGCTCCGCATATTTTTTCATATCCGTTTCTGAACCTGGTTCTGCATTTTTATAGTGGAGGCTTATTGAAACTTCATAAATCTTTATATATTCATCTTCTAAAAAACAATATATTGGAACAATGAAGTCGTAAAAATTTACTACTGTTATCTGTTGGCTGAACCGTCAGGTTTTCTAAGCACAACTTAAACGGAATTGCTTTTTGAGATATTGCAAGTTAGGAAGGTAGTTGCGCCAGATTTCAGCGGCCCCACTGTAAGATTGTGAACGTATTAACAACCGTTTGTTTATGAAGCGATAATGTGCGACGTCAAATAATCTCCAAAAAATTGAGTTAAGAGAAAAATGAGCGACTACGGTGGCTGATTGTATATCGGTTAATTTACATATTCTCAATGTTACTTCCTATTCAAAATCTTCTATTGATATATATGGTCAGATAACTTATATGGATAAAATGGATGCGGTACTGACAAAACTGTCCTGTATGACAATAAATAAAAGTAAAACAAAAATACTGGTATGTAAGGGAAGAAAAAATAGGGAAAGAGCGAATATAAAGATAGGAGTTAATTTAAAAATTTGAAAAATATTGGACGGATGAGGATATCGTGGATAGAAAAGGTTGGAAATGAAGAATAGGAGAACAGAGGACTCTATGGAAGTCAATAAGAAATAGGCAAGATAGGTTGGTAGGACACTTTCTTATGCAGAAAGGTTTAGTCAGAGACACATTAGAGGCAGAATCGGGAGTTAGGAGGAGTAGAGGTAGACTTAGATTAGATTTCTTCTAGTTCTAGTTTTAGGGAAATGCGAAAATTAGCTCAAGATAGGAAAGAGTGGATTATGATGATGATGATTTTACAATGCAACTGCCAAAAGCAACATCTGTAGCAAAAGGGTACACAACCACTGATTAGAAAATTATTACACTTCCTCATCCACTTCCACAAAAATTTCCGTTGCATCATTAATAAGGAGTTAAAAAATGCTTTTCAATTTTAAACATAATCTAAGCTTTCCTGCGAAATTCAATGTCCGAAGATCATTTGACAATCCAATTGATGCTTTCCATTAAAAAATTAGTATCGAAAAGATTATAGAGTGAAGTTTGCTTTTATGAACAATTCTAGAATTGAACTGATTTTCAAAAAAGTGAATAAACACTTGCAGAACTCCCGTTAACTAGTTATTAGTAAGAATTACTTAAATTGTACATAATTCGAATATTTCAAGAACTTACAAATAATGTACCTATTTCACGATTATGACAAATATTGTCCTAAATAGACGTATTTAATTAGCTATTGCACCTTGTAATAGAAAGCACATTCAATTAGATATTGATAATAAATATTTTGCATTTATGTTCTCAATTTGTCGTTTGTTGTAAACAGTTCCATTTTGTATTTCATTTCGATTTACGTATGTATAAGTACCTATGATCTGTATTATTAGTTGTGCGGAAAGCATTTATACAAATGTATTGTGTGTAACATAATATTGAAATTGTAGTAACAATTTAAACAGCAATGAGCGTAACGAGAGGATTGCTCAAATATATTGATTACCTATTGTAAAAAAATTAATCGTAAAATTTTGTAAATTCTTTTAAAATTCGTAAAATATGCAATCGTAAATTGCAAAGTATGAAAACGAATCCATTTTTTTATGTTTCTCTTGCACAAGAAGTCTAGCACATAAATAAGAAATAAAATATATACAAGTATCTTCAAAATAGACAGTTTAATCGAGACTTTCAAAAACTGAGCTCTCAGTCTTATTTGCCTTCAGGGTATGCAATATGCTTATTGTAGTCAAATTATGAGTTTAATCGAAAAATTTTCCGAAACTTCTATTCCCTATTTTAATATAAGATCGTCTGTAGCACCTAAATCTAATTTACTACAGGGTGCTCAAAAATAAGAAAAAAGAGATTTCGTTTAAATGGCAAAGCAAAGTTAAATACAGGCCCAACCGAAAAAAATGTTATCCTGAATGCCAACATAAAGGTCTGCGCAAAAAATCGTAGATATTCAAATGTTTTTATTTTGAGTCAAAAGGCCCAAAAAGATCGCAACATGCTTATTGTGAGCAAACTATACGTTTTTACCGAAGAATTTTTTAAAAACAGTCTCTATTTTAATACGAGATCACATTTTAATTTTTGATTTGCCATACAGAGTGTTTAAAAGTAGGGAAAAAGAGATTTCGTTTAGTCGGTAGCACAGTTAAGTATTGGTCCAATTGAAAAAAGTTATTCAAAATGTTTAAAGAAAAAATATGTCGCTATGCAATAAAATCACGGTTATATTCACGTTAACTAATTTTATCATTAGGTCATATTTCCTGAAAGATAGGTAAAAACACACAAAAGTTTCCCTCCTCGTCGTAAACAAAATCCTGCATTTACACCTGATGTTTCTAGCAATTCGTCTCTTTCGTGACTAGGTTAGGTTATGGTTTTGTATAAGAAGGATAAACTTATTTCCGGTAGAAAAAAAAACACTTATTGTACATATTGTGACATTTAGCAAATTCTATAATTTTAAAATATTCTAACACGTATAAATCTGTTTGGTTTCGTAACATGCCCGTATTATACAACAAAAAAGTTTATTTTATGCTTAAAAATTCGAATTGTAGAGACTTTAGCGTTGATGGAAAGTGAGAATAAGAAGGAAGTTTTTCAAGTTGCAGAAATTAAAATGTTTTGTAAGTTTACAAAATGTGCAGAGACCAAAAGTAAAAACTTTACAGTTACACAGATTCAATTTTTTCATTCGCTATAATTGATTCTTTCTAGCGATATGCAATGTTTCTGTTTGTAATTTAATTATGACGATACTCAACCCTATACAAATTGTAGAGTTAAAAACAGAACTATGCCTAGGTATACTCTATAGCACGTAAAGTGGCGACTTAAGTAATAAAACTACCAAGAAGGGAACGCCGTTGTTTATGCCTAGCCGGAATTACAATATTAAGGCATCATTCAAACGAAACACGTTTTGTATTCTGTTAGTCACCTGTGCCTATAAAGATCAAAATAGCTTGGTAACTTGTATAAGTGTTTTCAAATATTAAATAATATAGAAGGGCAAGAGGGTCATAGGCCCCGGGCGGCGCAAATGTAAGTGTGACAAAAATATTTTTTTCGGTATTAGAGTTAGCTCCGAATGTCTTGGTATTTGTACCAATTTTTAATAATTTGTACCATTACCGTATTGGTTCGTAAAAATTCCAAGATTTTAGTGTTGTTAAAAAACTGTAAAAAGCATATGTCCTGTATCTAAATGTAAAAACGGCATTTTTTATAGCAATATAGAAACAGCTGAAAGTCGAAAGGAGGTTGGGCCTTTGATGTTTACAAAATACCCCGATGGGTACTTACCGACGCGATGACTAGGGTTGTCACCTTTTCAGGCTTTACATAAAGTATTTATCGACTAAAAGGTTCAAATAAAAAAGTACTCAGCATAAAAATAAAGTATTTTATTTTTTGTTTTTAAAAACATATTTTTTGTTACACCTAGCAGCCAGTAACAAATTGCTTTCGCTCTTAAATACATTAATAGCNAAAAATGCGGTTAAAGGACATTTATTAGCGTATCGCCGAACGAACGGTAACTT